TTGGTCTTTTTGAGACAGGGTCTCCCTGTAGCCCCAGCTGTCCTGGAACTCACTATGTAGACCAGGCTGGCCTTGAACTTACAAAGATCCGCCTGCCCCTGCCTCCCAAGTGCTGGGACTAAAGGTGTGAGCCACCACCCCCGGCCTATTTATTTATATTTTATGTGTGTTTAGCCTGTGTGTACAGAAGAGCTCCCATGTGGCTCAGAGCCCTAGGAGGCCAAAAGAGGGTGTCAGATCCCCTGGAACTGGAGTTAAGGATGGTTGCTGCCAGGTGGGTGCTAGGAATCAAACCCGGTTCCTCTACAAGAGCAGTCAGTGCTCTTAACCACTGAGCCATCTCTCCAGCCTCAATAGTTGTGTTCTTTAAATTTGGGAGTACATACATGCTAGAACCCATCAAATACATACTAGATGTAATATTGCCATCACTCCTACTAGCTTTACTTCCCAGCAGGGTAATCATAGCAAACTTGTCATTCTCAAAATCCTGAGTGCACTCATCACGTATACAGTACAGACCTCACTCAGTCTGCAGTGCTGGGCCAGATAATGCTGGGTCTGAAAGATTCTTCTGGCACTAGGTCTCCCATCTTAAGCTGCTCATTCTTTACAAGTGTCCTAATATCTGCCTCCCAAGGGCTGTCATAAGGAGAGTACCTGGAACTTAGCAGGCTTAATGTTGGCTCCTTCAAGTGTAGCTCAGTTTCACATCCTCCTTCCCTAACCAGGCACAAGATGCTCCAAACACATTACATTCGGGGGGCATAAATGCCCACATTTCTGCTTTTGTGCCAAGTCTGCTGCCTTGAATGCTCATCTCTGCCTAGTAAGCTCCTGCTCACCCTTTAAAACCCAGCATGTTGCCTAGCAGCCCTGGAAAGCCTCCCAGACTACTACTCTGTTGGTCCCACATCTGTTCTCCACATCTAGCCCCTGAACTCACAAGACACACTCACTGAATAGCTAGCTTCCACCTCAGCCTCTCTATCTGCCAGTTGCTGCTTGAGGATCGGGACTCATTCAACTGAAACCTAACCCAGAAGTCTTTCATGATGAAAAAATAATTCGCCATTCAATATGCTGCCTCAGGATTGGGAATTTGCAGGACAAAACTCCTGGTTCAGCAAGTCCCACTCCTATAGCTTCTAAGAACCTGCAGGGAATCTGGTTTTCTCAGCACTGTAATCTTAAAGCCTGTCCTCTTCTAACCCCACAGTTACCAGCTCAGGAAGCACCTCTCCCACCTTCTGCACATGAGGCAGCTTGGAGCTGGAGATGTGCTCAGATGTAGCCAAGAGACCACAGCCCTGCTCCTCCAGGTTTGGAGGAAAGAACTGGAACTAAAACTCCCAAAGGCCATGTCAGGAAGCAGGATGCCAATAAATCCATCCAAAGGCATTTCAAGCAAAAAGTCCACCAGACACTCAGTGCTCAGGCAGATCTATGGTAAGTATTCTTCTGGGTATTTGGTAGTTTGCAGCAAGCGCCCCAGGAGTATGCCATGCACAATCTGAACTAAGACTTAATTAGGCATCCCTCCATCTGTTTTTTATATGCTTTACTTTCAAGCACTTGGTGAATTTTCAGCAACATAAAGTCCCTCTTCTAACCAAAAGCTCCAGCTCTGGGCTCCAATACTGAAAGCCCCACAATTCTTAAACCTGCATGAATGCCCAGGACCAGTCACTATAACATGTACTAAGTAAATACGCTGATAAAACAGAAATATTTTCTGCTCTGCAAAGAGCCTCCTCAAAAAACCTCAGCAGTTGGGCATAGTGGAGCAAACCTTTAATCCCAACACTTGGGAGGTAGTGGCAGGTGGATCTGTGTGACATGGAGGGCACCCTGGTCTACATAGTGCGTTCCAGGCCAGATGGGGAGCTAGAGGGTCTCAAAAAACAGAAAAATAAAAATAAAAACCTTAAAATTCAGCAGAGAACAATTCTGGGTAGCTCTTCAACAGAAAGACATGGAGCCCAGAGCTCCCAGTTTGAGCAGCACACTCTCAGGACCTAGCCAGTCCTAATCCAACATGCCACTGATTGAATGTCTCAGAATCATTTAATAAATTTAACCAGAAAGTATCTCCAAACCAACCAAACAAACAAAAATCGTAATATATGAAACATTTCTGGTCCCATGCTTCTCAGATAAGAGATACTCAATTTGTATTTTCACACCTTACCTAATTTATCTTGGCAGACACCCGAACACCCTCACCTCAACAAGAAATTCAGAACTTGGTCAGGCTATAGCTATCATTAGTCAGATAGGTGACTTGTTGCTTTATTGCAGGTTGTTCTCAAGAGGGGAAAGTACGTCATCCCATCAGGTCTTCAAAGGCCTTTCCTGCACTACATCTCAATTCAGGTAAGGCAGCCACTGCACTGGCAGAGCAGCTGAGGAAAGAGCACGGAAAGGGTTTCCTTTGTCACTTCACTCAGATGTAAAAGATGGCTGAACACACCACCAGGGCTTTCCCATAGTCCTGATTTCAAATGTGTGTTTTACCCCCTTCCTAAGGAATAATTATTGCAATCAACATCTCTAAGAGGCAATTTTCACAACTAAGAACTATATTCCTCCAGTACAAACAATAAATGGTAGTTATTATTGATCCCTTTTTACATTCTTCACATACTGTCTTTCAAAAGGAATGCACTGGATTCCTTGTCACATTTCGGGGTCACTTTAAGATACGCTTTCCTCACCACAGATGGACGAGCACCACAAACACACACATAGCACATTCTGCTCAGGCTCAACAGCACATTTCTACCCATAGGAGCAACCCAGGGCACTTCTTTTCAGACACAGGACATGTGAGTTTTACTTAGGGCCCCTTCCTTCATGCCAGCATTAAGAGTGGGTGATAAGTTCATGGCTGTCAACAGCTAATGCCGGGTCCAGCCTATCTCACAGGTGGCTACAGCAACAAGCTTCCCTACCCTCCCTGATCTACAGAGCCATCGGCAGGAACAGAAAGCAGCTGGGAAGGTGAACAATGACTGTCAGCATGAACTTTAGCATTCATTTAGTTTTTGTATGGAGCGGGTTGGGAGGTAGAATAATTACTGCCAAATCTTTAATAAGAGCTGGGCAATTCATGTAACACAAGGCTGATCAGGGAGTGGTGGGAAGAGTAGTTAGAAACTTTTAAAGGAATAAAGGTTGACAGCTCTGTGTAGACTATTCTTATATTAGACTGGAGAATTATTTCAAAAGCAGAGCTGTCACATAAAACTACCAGAGGTGCAGCATTCAGAAATATGTTAGGTAATCAGATGATTTCCCCCTGTTAAAAGGAAAACAAACCCAGATTTACCAGAAATCATTAAAAATGAAGATGTTTAGCAGCACAGAGGTTTTCAGTGAAAAAGACTGAATAAATAAATTAAAAGAAATAATATTTTCTTAAGATGTCATATGAACAAGCAATTTGTACTACACAGATTTCTGACTAGTGTGAAATCATACAAGAATAAAACAGGGACTCTTTCCCTAGCCCCAAACTTGGCAGAACACAGGTTTGGTTAGCCTAATTCCGCCCACATTAAGCATAAACCATTTAATAAAGCTGGAAGATGGCTACTAGCTAAAGTTTAACCGGTCTATAAGTATTTTAATCTATAAACAATTTCTATGAATTGAACTTATGTAGAAGTTTCTGAAGTGTACTGTCAGATAATTAAACCACCCATGAAAAACTTTAATTCCAGTAAATTACTTGTTCAGTTGTTTTTAGAATTCAGTAGAGCTAAGGATGTTCTGACTTTGTTCAGCATTTTATTCAGTTTTAGAAAATTGCTTGGCACACTGTAGATGTTCAAACAGCTGAGGAATATTGTTGCTCCAACTTGGGGAAATGCCCCCCTAAGGCTTTGGTTTTCCTCTACACTTAAAACGGCAGAAACGGACGCTGCAAGATGCAGCCTCCTTGGACTACTGCTCTACATACATTTGGAACACAAATAAACAATTCCTGCTTTGCAGTCTTCCACACCCAGAGCTTCAACCTAGCCTTTTATTGACATATAGCAACTGTGCCCATCTCTTCAAAAAAGATAAAGAATTCTACCCCAGTAAATGAAATGACCACGACTCATGTGGCTATTGGTAATGGTACCTCTGCAGAAACCCAAGTATCTTCCTTTACCTTTGAAGGGATATGCAGATAACAATTCACTTCAAGATACAGTTAAGGTGCCAAAAATTTGCCCAGGTTCCAAAAGCTGTAATTATAAATCAGGAGAAAAACTAAAGTATGTTACTTTTTGGTGTGCATGTCTTTTTGAGATAGGGTCTCCTGTAGCCCCAGCCAGCCTGGAACTCACTACGTAGACCAGGCTGGTCTTGAACTCAAGAGACCCACATGCCTCTGCCTCCTGAGTGCTGGGATTAAAGACATGTGCCACCACGCCCAGCAAGGTATGTTACTTTTCGAAACTACAAACATTTCAAATTTACTTGTATCTTCCTCATAAAGTTAAGAGTAAAATACTACAATATGGTTTCGGCAAGGTCTCACAAACATTTATATGGTCCGTCATTTCTACCACTAGTGTTTTCTGGCATCCAAAATCATGTTATTTCAAGGTCATAAAAAAGTCTCAAAAATCTATTAACGGGGCTGGAGAGATGGCTCGGGTTAAAAGCACTGACTGCTCTTGCAGAGGACCTGAGTTTGATGCATAATGGTGCATATCTATTTTTTTTTAATGTGTATAAGTGCTATCCCTGCATATAACTACACCTGTGTTGTAAAGTACACATTAAAAAAAAAAAAGACATGCACCACTATGCTCACCTGTCAATAGATTTTTTTTTATATTTAAAATTTTTGTTTTTTTTTTTAAATTTTTACTTCTGTGTATGAGTGTATTGCCTGCATGCATTTAAGTGCACCCAGGTCATGCAATGCCTGTGAAAGTCGAAGAGGGCATCAGATCCCCTGTAACTGGAGTTATGGACGGTTGTTAGCTGCCATGTGGATGCTGGGATTCAAACCTGGGTCCTCTGCAAGAGCAGCCAGTGCTCCTAAAGTGGTACATGTCTGTAATCCCAGCAATCAGGAAACTGAGGCAAGAGAGTTGAGTTGAAGGCATAAACTATATACTGAAAAGTGTAAAAACATCTGGGTTTGGGATTCCAATCAGTTTGCCATCCTTCTAAAGCTTTCAAACAAAGCTTTTTTTCTGGATGGAACAGACATGGCATGACAGGGATTTAAAGATGAGTATATGCAAGTACATATGTATTACATGAAATACATTCCAAGAAAGATGTCACATTAGATCTCAGGCTGACTGAAGAGCTAGGTTCCACTACAACCTGTCCCAATCCAGTTTCTTCCTTGAAGATGAGGAAAAATAAAGGCTCCAGTCACCTGCATTTAGACAGCTAGCCCACTGCCTTTCTTGGCTCCAGCGAGAGCGCCACCTTAAATCCTTTTTCCTTACATCCAAAGAACTCTTCTTTCTTCATTAACATCAATAATCTGAATACCCATTTGTTTTTAACAGTGAACAGTTTGCAGAGTATACATCTTGAGAACAGTGGAAGATCAAAGAACTTTTCTTACAACCTGCAACCAGCTAGTCAATCAAAAAGCAAACCAAAGCTCTAATTGTCTGGAAGACCAGAACTGTTGTGGAAAATCTTGTGACTGATTTTGCCTTTTGCCTTACATACCTATCATGCTGGAATGCATTGCTTCTAATGGGGCATCTGGCCCGCTAGAGTGTAATAGGATACTAGTCTGCCATGCTAATAAGGGATCCCATATGCTGTGTTGTGATTGGACTATTACCCTTATATAAGCCCGTACTTTCTTCCAATAAAGCAGATCTGTGTCACTGAACCTGGTCTCCTGTGCCTGAATGCGGTGACGCTGGCGCAGACTCCTCAGCAACCCTGGGGTCCGGGCCGGATGATTGATTGGAGGAACTTAAAGAGCAGGAGAGCGGCCATAGCCGAAGGAGAGCAGCCACAGCCGGCAACCACACAGAACCAGTGCTGAGACCTATTCTCTGTGAACAGTTCCTTACTCTTGTGAAAGCTTTACTGTCCGTAAAGCCTTACTACCCTGAACATGTGGTAAACAACTGAAAGAAAATGTTGGAATGTTTCCTCCCTGCTACTCTTATTCAGTACCATCTGGGGATTCCTCGTGGCCTGCACCGAAAGGACCAGAGCTGACTGCTTGTATGGACTGTCTCGCTGTATGCCTTCACCTCCGTCAGCATGGCTTGAAATGAGAACTGATCGTCTATAGTAAAACCAAGAACACGTACTGTAAAAGGGCTGCTGGGTGGGAGTTCTGACAGTTAGCCAACTGCACAGGCCTCGATTCTTTGCTCTAGTGATGAACCTCAATGAGATGGGAAACCTGTGCCATGACAACCACCTTCACCTTGCAGTTTTCTTGGAATGTACTACGACAAGCACAACAGACACCACACTACCACTGTTACCTCAGCCGTAACCATTTTAAATTTTACGAAAGACTCATGACCCAATGTTTGCATTCAAAAACTGTCCATAAGATTCTAAACACATTCTGTTGATTCCTTAGTTTTCTGTTTCCTTTTAGCCCTGGAAGGCAACAGGCTGTAACCATGTGTGTGCTCTCTCTCTGTGAATGGGGTTTTTAACTGCTGAGCAGAACCAACATATAACAGCATCAAGGAATCAGTTGGGTAAGGTTTATACTCATGCAGCAATGAGCCAACTCAGGCCTCTTCATTTCCTTTGTAACAGAAACAAGCAGTCTTCAAAATGTTGCTTTTCTGGCAGAGAAAGTAACACACATTCTAACTCTAAGAATACCTGGCATAAAGAAAATCTGAGGATTATGGGCTTTCACAGAGGCTTAAATTAATGCTATCAGCCCCCACCCATGCTAGCACTAAAGGACAGGAAGTTGACAGTGTTTAGCTAATTACCTTGGTTTTAAGTTTAGCAACTTATATTCAAAATTATGAAAACACAAAGAACACAGTATAGTTTAACTAGTTGGGAATCACATTCAGCTAATTTACTGATAAGCAAGTAAAGGCACCATAGATCACTGTCATGTGTGAAATGCTCTGTTACCTATAGCCATGTATCGTGTTTTAGTGCAGGCAAGCAGTATGAGCATCAGTAAGAACTCCCAAGACGACTTGTGCTGGATAGCTTTAGTGTCAACTTGACACACCTGGATTGAGGGAGCCTCAACTGGGGAACTGCCTTCACCTGCCTCTGGGCAGGTGGGCCTGTGTTGCATAAGAAAGCAGGCTGAGGAGGGGCCAGGGGAGCAAGCCAGTAAGCAGCATTCCTCCATGGCCTGTGCTCCAGCTCCTGCCTCCAGGTTCCTGCCCTGAGTTCCTACTTTGGGCTCCCTGAAGAACTGCAACCTGGGAGATGTAAGCTGAATAAATCCTTTCCTCCCCAAGTTGATATTGGTCAGAGTGTTTTGACACAACAATGGAGAAACAAACTAGGACACTTATCTTCCTGCTTTGGTGCAAAGGCAGGCTCATGAACAACTTCTTTAAAAGTTTAGTTTTAATGACATCTATTACATCAGTCTCTCTTGAAAATAAGATAAATGTGAATAAACAATTTCCAATAGGAGATACCGGGCTTCCTCAATACACTGCGCTCAGCATGCTTGGCCCCTGCGGATGGCCAGTGATGTACACATTGAAGCAGTAATGTAAGTCTGTGAGCCACTGCTCCTGAACACTGCCACTCTTCAAAGTCTGCAGAGAAAAACAAGAGTAATTTGAGAAATATACCACTTGACAAGTGTTTTTTATACCTAAACATCATTTTTCAAGGCCTAGATAAGTAATTTCTATCTACAAATCACCACCACCAGAGGAAGTCCGCTAAAAACAACAAAAACTATGTTACCCAAGCTCTCCCTCTGCTGAGCTACAAACCCAGTAGGGCAAGCTTCCCCAGCCAGAGTGCCAACTCCACCACGACAGACTGTGCCCTCTCAAATTGTAAGGCAAAACAGAGTTTCTCCTTTTAAGTTGCATTTATTTGGTCACGGTGACAAGAAAAACAACACGTCTTTAAATGTGACCAGTTCTTGCTGAAGTCTGTTCCCCCTTAGACACACTGAAGAGTAATGAAATTTTATTGTCAACCATCCCTACATCTCTTATTGTTAGCCCTCATGATCTTTGCAGTAATGTCAACAGATTTAACTCTACAGAGCCAACTGGTATCTGTCTTCAAGCTCTACTACTCTAAAATATTACATCTCAATGAATAAACCCTAAACACCAATACAAATACAAAATATCATTTTCACCCTTCCAAAACTACCCCTCAAATAGCCAAATACAGAGTGCCCCTGACAGCAGGCAAAGGTGAAGCCTACAACTTTTTTTTCCTTTCTCTTCCTGTCAGTGACCTGAGCAATTAAAAACTGTGGAAGTTAACTCCTGTTGTTGAAGAATGTCCTTGGGCAGAGATACCCGGAGCTACTTGGAAAGAGCACTATGTTACTGGCCGGCCCACTTTTCTGAATCCTAACTCAGAAAAGCCTAATTTTCCCTTCTTTCCATCCTTTTCTCTCGGATACTAGCTGAGGCCTGGTTATGTTCTCCCTGATGCTTTGGGCCTTCTCACTTGTTCTCTGAATCTCTCACCACCCCTTTTCTGCAACACAGCTATTTTAAAGCTGAATCTGCTGGATTTCTCAGATCCTAACTGAAAGGTATGGCTTTCTCTCCTCCTCTTCTCCATCTCCCTCCTCTGAACAAGCTTGCCTGCCCAGTTGTTTTATACTCGATCTTTAATAAAAATTGTCCTCAAGCATTAAAATATAACAATTTCCTTAAAAGCTAACACTTTTGTAGCCCTTAATAAATGGCAGGTACACTAAACACTCTACTTAAATATCTCATTTAATAGTCACCAAAGTTTATATAAATCCCACTTTTACAGAAAGGAGTATGCTTGACCAAGAAAGGAGGGAAAAAATTGCCATCACAGTTAGTCAACAGTGTATCCAGGTAGTTATTATGTCTCTAATGCCTAATCCTCTAACTACACAGCAGATACCACCTTCTTCAGTTTCGATATCTGAAGACTGCATTAAATAAAAAAAAAAAACTGGTTCTGAATCGGAGATGATACTCAACAGCAGGGAAAGCCCCGAGAAATCACCAAACTGGGCAGGATTCTAAGAGTCGGTGGGTACACAGGAACCTCGCCCTCTTAAAAGCACCCCCATCCCTCCTGGGAGTCCACCTTCTACTAAGAGGACAAAGCCACTCAACACCAGCTGCTTACAGTGATATTCTTGATGATCTGCTGCACTAAGATGGCATTGGTCAGCATGTGCGTCCTCAGAGGCGCATGCTGGAGCAGCAGGCGAAGCAGCTGGCCCACAATGGGCAGCTCTTCAGGCCCAGCTCTGTTCACCCGCAGACTCTGCAGCATCAGCCTGAGGACACGAGGCAGGAGAGCCAGGATGGAGACACAGGCCCCCCACAGCTTGTCCCTAGAACACAGACAGAAATGAGTCACTGAGCCATCAAACGGGAGAGGTGTCATTTGCACATTCTTTGATGGAAATGAGAAGTATGTTTCTTGCAAGGTAGGTATACTTGATGTCGCCTGTAATTTCGGCATTCAGGAGCTTAGGCAGGAGAACTGCCGTGAGTTTGAGGACAACCTAGGCTACACAATGAGTTCAAGGCCAGGCTATAGAGAGCCTATCTCAAAAAAATATATATATGCATAATTAAACACCACAAACCATAATCAGTATGAACTGGGTTTCATCTGAACTAAATAAGCAAAAGCAATGCAAAATTAGTTGCTAGGAAGTCCAGAAAACAACATTTTCCTGGGTTTAACCAGACATCTTGGAAGCCACAGTGAACAGAACAATCAACCGTTGCATGCCTGTCACCTAACACTGAACAATGCTCAATTATCATACAATGCAGAAGGTATCTGCAGATTATGCTCCTTTAAAAAAGAGAAAGTAACTCATAAAACTTCAAGTCTACAACTAGATCCTGAGTATAGTCAGTATCTTAGAACAAAAGACTTTCAGAGAGAAAGGACACAAAATAGATTTAGAAAGTCACCAACAGGGGGACCAATACTGTAACACTGGGTCAAAAAAGGCCAGAAATATAATTCCTAATGTCAATAAACACCATTCTCTTGCTATCTTTATAGAGCAGGAGTAAAACAAGTTTATGAAAAAGATGAACTACTTAACAGCAGCCTAACTACTCAAGCAGAGGGTAATTAATAGAGCAGTATTCATTTGGAAGGAAAGTAAAGGAACTGCTAAAGGTTCCAACCTTGGTCACTTTCAGTTTCTACACCAGGAGTGAGCAGCCTTCCCAAGATCCCAAATCTTTCTAAGAGAACTTGATTACCTCTCTCTCTAGCCCTACACAGAACAGCCCTGTGACCACATGACCAGCCTCCCAGACTCCACCTATAGGACTTTCACAGGAGATGCATAATGAATCCATTTCAGACTAACAAGATCTTTTTCCTTCAAGGGTCTTTATTCAGTGTATTTACTGACACAGAACCAGATGTGGATAGTCATGCAGAATGAGAAAACAGAAGTCAAGTTCTTGAATAGCTAATAATGAGGCAAAGGCTTATAAAAACTATATAACCTAAGTGAAAAAGACAAGCTTTGGTTCCTGCTGGATTTTTAAGTTAGGCCTGGAATGGCCCAATATACAGTGATATGTCATTTAACAATGGGATACATTCTGAGAAATGTATTGCTAG